TATACCACTAAGGCTTAGGGATTTGCAACCCTACCTCGTTCTCAAGTCAAGAGAGTGAACTCTTGAGATTATGGGTGATTTTACTTGCTGCAAGAGGTGGTTACAAACCTCCCGGGGCTACCACATAAGTTGACAAGCTCCGTGGTCGACGCTCTAGCCAGCTAGGAGCCAAGCTCCAAGAGTAACAAATACAACCGCTGGCTAAAATATGAACCAAGTGCTCTTTAGAGTTTAGGAATCAATGGAGTTGCTCTCTAATCAAGTTGTGGACCCTTTTCCCTCAAGGATTGATGGAGAAATCAATGGATTTGCTTGGGGCTTTAGGTCAACAATGGAGAGAAAGAGAGAGCTCCTGCTCTGTTTTGGGCGTGCTGAAGTGAGGAAAAAGAGAGCAGGTTGGTTCATTCAGTTACCGTTGGGGAGGAAGAGGAAAGGTATATATACCCCCAGCCCGCAACGGTCACTTTAAAACGCAGATAGCCGTTGACGAGGAAAGGGAAAGGTATATATACCCCTAGCCCTCAACGGGCACTGCACCCAAGAGGTCGGGCGAGACAAGGCCGCGACCAAAGGGTCGGGCGAGCCGGAGCCCGCGACCTTGGGGTCGAACGAGCCGGAGCCCGTGACCAAAGGGTCGGGTGAGACGGAGCCCGGGACCAAAGGGTCAGGCGAGTCGGAGCCCGTGACCTTGGGGTCGGGTGAGACGGGGTCGTGACCAAAGGGTCGGGCGAACTGGAGCCCGTGCCCAAGGGGTCTGACGAGTCGGAGCTCGCACCCAAGGGGTCGGGCGAGTCGGAGCTCGCACCACGCAAGACAACAAGGATAAAAGTGAAGTGTAGACTGTCTTGACTGTGAATTTGAGGATGCTTGTGGTTGTTTGAGCACTTGGTAGCACATATTATCTTAAGCATTGTGTCCCTCTTTATAGTACGGCTTTTTCTATACTCAAATTCAAGATATAAAAGAATCTTAAATCTCTTTTGAGTTTGAAGCCATTTATATTTGTAATTGGGGGCTCCTCTGTTTCGTGTAGCATTGAAAGCTCTAGTTTGGTTTTGGTTAATTGATGAAACCCTAAGTGCTAACCTAGTTTATCAAAGTGATTATAAGATAGGTAGCACTACTCCAAGTGATGAAGCAATGGCGAAGATCATGATGATGGTGATGGCATGGTGATGATTAAGTGCTTCAACTTGGAAAAGAAGAAAGAGAAAAACAAAAGGCTCAAGACAAATGTATAAATTGTAGGAGCTATTTTGTTTTAGTGATCGAGACACTTAGCGAGTGTGATCACATTTAGGATTGATAGCCATACTATTAAGAGGGGTGAAACTCGTATCATAATGCGGTTATCAAAGTACCACTAGATGCTCTAACTCATTGCATATGCATTTAAGATCTAGTGGAATGCTAACACCCTTTAAAATATTTGTGAAAATATGCTAACACATGTGCACAAGGTGATACACTTAGTGGTTGGCACATTTGATCAAGGGTGATGAAGTTTGGGTGCAAGAGTAAGAAACTCCACTGGTGGAGTGTCCGTCCGTAGAGTGCGGACAGTCCGACGGTACCACCGGCGCCCTAGACAGAGAAGACAAAAGTCACTGTATGTGACCGGACGCTGGTCTCGGTTGGACAGGAGCGTCCGATCAGTGGCAACAGAGGGCGCGTGTTTCGGTCTTCGATCGGACGCTGGCGCTAAAAGTGACCGGACGTTGGCAGGGTGTGTCCGGTCAGTGCTGACGTACGCTGACGTGAGGCGCATAGAGGAAATATTGTGTGACCAGACACTGGGTGAGTCCGGTCGGACATGACCGGACGTGTCCGGTCGTGAAATCTCGCATTTGGAACCTTACTGGAAACGACCGGACGCTGGGGTCCAGCGTTCGGTCACTTTCTAACTGACGCGTCCGGTCATCTCTTGACCGTTGAGATCGGGCGATCGACGTTTGAAGCCAATGACACGTGGCGAAGATTTGAGGACCGGACGCTGGGGTCCTGCGTCTGGTCAATATGACCGGAGCGTTCGGTCGGCCCGTGTTCAGCCCAGTAAAGGAGTACAACGGCTCTATTTCGTGGGGACTTCTATTTAAGCCCCATGGCTGGCTCAAGCTCACTCTCTTGGCCATTTTCATTGACATAGCAACCTTGTAAGCTTAGCCAAAGCCCTCTCACTTATCTCCATCATTGATCCATCATCATTATGAGATTGGGAGAGAATCCAAGTGCATTGCTTGAGTGATTGCATCTAGAGGCACTTGGCATTCGTGTTGCGCTGCGGATTTCGCTTGTTTCTCTTGGTGGTTGCCACCACCTAGACGGTTGGAGCAGCGGTGGAGGATTGATTGGCACGTGTTGGTGATTGTTCATGGCCATCTCCGGTGATTGTAAGGGGAGTTGTACCTTCCCCGGCAGAGTGTCGAAAGGTAACTCTAGTAAATTGCTCGTGTCATTGAGTTACCTCACTTGTGGGTCAGTTCTTGCGGCGTCCTATCGTGTGGACGAGGTTTGTGAAACACCTCTTAGCCGCCGAACCACCAAGTGTTGGTCGACACAACGGGGACGTGGCGTGTTGGCAAGCACGTGAACATCGGGAGAAAATCGATTGGCTCATGTCTTTGGCATTCTCCCAGCGATTGGCTATATATTCATCTTGTGATTGGTTTATCCCCTACACGGCGGTATAATCACCCTACCCACTTATTTACATTCTTGCAAATTAGTTGATACAAGCTCTTTAGTGTAATTAGAATTGAGAGGTTGCTTTATTATTTACATTCATCTAGTTGAGCTCTTTAGAGTAGCAAGATTGAGAGCTCTTAGTGAGTAGTTACATAACAAGTTTGTGTGCCTAAGTAATCATTGTAACTAGAATTATTGGATAGATGGCTTGCAACCCTTGTAGAGCTAGAGCAAGTTTGCATTACGCTATTTGTCATACTAATCAAATTACTCTAGTTGATTTGTAGATTTTTAAATAGGCTATTCACCCCCCTCTAGCCATATTATGATCTTTCAAGCATCCTCGAATATAATTTCTCTGCTTGTCATCTCAATAAATCTTAGTAGTTCTCTAATTGCGTGGTGATTATTACCAAAACCCATAATTAGAGCTTGATTGCACTTTCAGGGCAAGTAATGTCCTTTTCGTCTATCTACAACCACAATAATAGCTAAGATCATCCTTTTTAGATGATGTTTATCATAGCTTTGTAGATCATGGAACATGCCTTATACGCTATTACGATGTGGAAGCTGAAATAAATAGCTCCCAATCTATATCCATCCACATGTCAAAGCATTATAATTCGACAATTTGCTTCTCTTTGCTTGTAGACTCTTTAACATTCATGAATTGCAATTGAAGATTTTTTATTTAAAGCTAAAATAAATAGGATTTTAGCTAACTGAATGGTTGGATGCTTTAGATAGACATCGACCAGCACATGTCTAGGTAAAGCTATGCCATATATTTTAGCCAAATAAATGATATCCATATATACTTACCGAGACAATAATAACAAATACATTAATTTCTATTTTTAATATACCACATTTATTATTTTATTTTTATATAGTCGGAACCATGTAGCACACTCTTCTCATTCTCGAATTATGTAGCACATGTGCAGAGGCATGAGACCCGTTGATACCAAAGGATGAGATCCGTTGTGATACCAAAGGAGGACAAAGAAGAAAATGAGGAGAAAGAAGATACGTTGATACAAATTTCTTATGTCCTCTGACACTAATCGATAAAAGTACCTCAATTGCCGTGACTTCAGTAGTACCATCGAGTTAATCCATTTCATATATATCTAAACCTCACAATCAAACAACTTGGCCTAACACAACTGCATCCGCACGGTATGCCCAACACATGCCACACATGTACGTGAACTCTCGTTCTCACTAATACTACACTAACATGTGTGTTGTCACTGTTACATCACCAATACGGCACGGAGACATCATGGATACCTCTCCTTTAGCCTCGCCGGTTTAAAAGTTGCCCAACAACCTCTCATCTCTAGTCACCGTCGAGGCTAACGAGAGTAGGAGACGTACTCCAACCACTCGGCTAAAACCGTGCTCTCTCTGCCTAATCAATTTGACCGTAACAACGTCCAAGCCAACCGCATCCGAAACCAAAGCGGCTCGTTGCCCGTTCAACGAAGGCGGAGCGGGGCAACTCCGGAATACGCGGGAACTCGGGGGTGCCCACCGCAAAAGCGGCATCATCGCGTCGTTGATCCGCGTGCCGAGTCCCAAGACCTCGCGTGCGTCGTGCAGCAGCCAGCAACACTCCAGCTGGAGGAGAGAGGAGTCCACGCGAGTGAGGAGAGGAGAGGGAGCAGACGAGGGAGCAGGAGCAGACGAGGGAGATCTCTCCCCACCCCCGACCCTTCCTCCTCCTCCTCTCGGCCTCTCCGGCGGGCGGGCGGGCGAGCAATTCGGCCATGGATCCCCCACGCGGAGGTCAGCGCTCCTCGTCCCCTCCCTCCACGGTTTTCCTTTTCCCCGTACTTCTCCGCGCCGCGGTCGCCGCGCGGCTCGATCCGCGCGGCCGGTGGTTCGCTCCGCGGGTCCCCACGCGCGGCCGGGGCTGATTGGGCCATGCGGAGCGGGATTCTCCGTTCGCGTCCCGGCGTCGAGGTTCCATGGCGCTCTCTCTCGCGCGCGCGGGGGTGGCGGCAGCGGGCTGTCCTTCGTCCTTCGTCCCTCGCGCGGCGCACGAGGCGCTCGTCGCCGCGAATCCGAGATTTATCGTGCATGCGCGGGGCCTGGCGGTTCCAGCGCTTGAATTGCTGGCGGGGTTGGTCTAGTCGCCGCCGCATGGGGAGGACGGGCTCGGCGCCGCCGGCTCCGGCTCCGGTAACGTTAGATTCGCGTGCATGCGGCGGTGGCTACGCCTACGCGCATTGCGGCCGTTTCGCCCGTGGCGAGTGCGGCGGGGGCGGCCGGGGGATTCGGTGCCTTTACGTCGTTGTCCGGGGATGTACGTGTCCACGGCTGCCGCCTCATTTGTTGGTACCCGGTGGTGGTAGCAAAGTATCTCTTTTGGGACGGGAGAAAGGCCTGGGTCGGTGGCTACCGCCTCAGGGGGGCTACTGTTGCGGTTCGTGGACTTAGATGCCCGTTGTGTGCGGTTCGTGGACTTAGATGCCCGTTGTGTGATTCCAATCTCGTTGACCTGGCCGTGTGGAATGTTTATTCGGATGCGCCGCTTTGTTTTCCTTGGTGGTGTGCCCGCTTTTTAGGTTGATGGAGGCGGTTGTGTGCTGATTTCGTTTGTTATACAGATTTACAGAGGGTTTAAGTTTCTTAGCAGAAACAGAGTGTGTTTCTTGCCTTCCGTTGTTGCTGTCTATAGGTAGAGGCTATGCAAGTAGAATGTTCCTAATACTAGCTAATAATATATGCTAGGAGCTACTGTTGCAGTTTGTGGATTTGGATGCCCATTGGGTGCGCTGCTTTGTGTGCCTGGTGGTATGGCCGCTTTAGGTTGATGGAGGCAGCTGTGTGTTGATTTCATCTGTTATACAGGTTTACAGAGGGTTTAAGTTTCTTATCAGAGTGTGTTTCTTGCCTTCCATTGATGCCGTCTATAGGTTGACGCTACGCAGGTAGATGGTTCCTAATACTACTAGCTAATAATATGCTGGGGGCTACTGTTGCAGTTCGTGCATTTGGATGCCCATTGGGTGATCCTGATCGCGTTGGCCTGGCCGTGTAGGATTTTTATTCGCATGTCTTCTTTTTTTGCCTTGTTGTTGTGGCCGCTTTAGGTTGACGGAGGAAGCCGTGTGTTGATTCTATTTGTTATGCAGGTTTACAGAGGGTTTAAGTTCTTAGCAGAGTGCATTTCTTGCCTTCCATTTTTGCTGTTTATAGGTAGAGGCTATGTAAGTAGAAGGTTCCTAGTACTAGCTAATAATATATGCTGGGGGCTAATGTTGCAGCTCGTGAATTTCGATGCCCATTCGGTGATTCCGACCGCGTTGACCTGGCTGTGTGGGTTTTATTCGTACACGCTGCTTTGTTTGCCTTGTTGTTGTGTCCGCTTTAGGTTGATGGAGGCAGCCGTGTGTTGATTTCATTTGTTATACAGATTTACAGAGGGTTTAAGTTTCTTAGCGGAGTGTATTTCTTGCCTTCCATTGTTGCTGTCTATAGGTAGAGGCTGCGCAAGTAGAATGTTACTGACACTAGCTAACATTATATGCGGAACACATTCATAGCTCCATAAAACATGCCTCGTATGTGGTGCCAGAATCTGAGTTATGTAGAAGTGCCATGCAAGTCTATTATAAATCGTCAGTTACGAAAGGCCTATATATACTGGGAAATTGTACTAGAGTTATTATTTTTTGTACCGAGTGCTCGATTACTTTTCTATTTATGGAATATATTTTTGTGCTTTCCTTTTTTATGGATCCAACATTACTTTTTTCTGTAAAACATATGCGGTTGGGATCTACAAATATGATGTAGTATTAAATTGAGGGGGGAAAGGAAAAATGCCCATAGAAGCCCAACAGCCTCTGCAAACCTAACTGCCTAGGGTAAAGAGGGCAAAAAAGGAGGGAGGCGGCCGCCGCCACCGGTGCGCGGGCTGGAGGCGATGACCCCTTTGTGCTGGAGTCCGGATCGGAGGCAGTGGCCCCTGCTACTGCAGTGCGAACTGGAGGCGGTGTACCCTGCTGCTGTGTCGACCAGAAGCGGCCGCTGCGGCTAGTGCTGCTGGATTAAGGGAGGATGACTCCTCCTGGGCGGTATCCTTCAGATCTCCCACTCTCTGTGTCTCCCGAACGCTTTTATCTGTCTCGTGCTCTATTTCTCCCATGCTCTGTCTGTCTTTGTCTCCCGCCGGAATCTCCTGCTGTTTTCCCCTTTCTTCTACCGCTTTTATCCGCCGATGACACCTCATATGGTGCCCGCTACAAGTTATTTCCGGTGATTTGGATGCCAAAGCGACGATTTTGGGACACCACACCCATAAGGCGGACGATGTACACATGTTAGTCAAGTTGTCAGGCATGGTGTCACCCCTAGACTGCTCCGACGCTTAAGTGAGCCTTAATAACAATGGTTTTTGCTAAGATATTTGTCATCTTATAAAAACCATTGCAGCCTGAAACCGACATACTCATGCATGGTACACATATATAACACTTGTAAATGTGCATTGGCAGACAAAAGAAGCTTGATTACACATGATTCTGTTCCAACACTATTTCTTGTTTGTTTATCTGTTTCTAGGATTATGTTGGAATGACTATCCTACAATCTTTGCAACCAGTATTCCTTGGATGCTTTATGGGATCTAATAAATTTAAAGTTTCTATTCTGGGCTTCAACTTTGATGATTTGTTATTATGCGTTATGACTACAAAGTTTCTTTCAAACATGCTTCTGCTATATTTTTAAGCATATTGGTGATGTATCTAAGATTATAATGCTGCAAAAACTTGAATTCTATTTATATATATTGAATGGATGGTAATATGTTGTGTTATTTATTACTCCAGGAACAGTGATTGATCCTGCTAAATGTCGATTGATGAGTGTGGATGAAAAGCGAGAACTCGTTCGTGATTTATCAAAGAGCCCAGAAAGTGCTCCTGACAGGCTTGTAGCATGGACCCGTCGGGAAATTGTAGAGATTCTTTGTTCTGATCTTGGAAGGGAGAGGAAATATACTGGTTTATCCAAACAGAGAATGCTAGATTATCTCTTCAGGGTGGTATCTGGAAAATCATCTGGTCCTGTGGAACATGTACAAGAGAAAGAGAAAGGGAAAGGGAAAGAGAAAGAGAAAGAGAAAGAGAAAGAGAAAGAGAAAGAGTCAATTCCTGAGCCCAATACAACTAACCATCAGTCCCCTGCCAAACGACCGAGAAAGAGTGACAATCCATCACGATTACCGATTATCACAAACAACTCTGCAGCATCTGATGTAACTGGGCCACCTAATAATCCACGCTTCTGCCAAAATGTAGCTTGCAGGGCTATTCTCAGGGACAAATTTTGCAGACGCTGTTCATGCTGCATTTGTTTCAATTATGATGATAACAAGGACCCAAGCCTCTGGTTGTCGTGTAGTTCAGACCAACACTTACAAAAGGATACCTGTGGTTTTTCATGTCATCTTGAATGTGCTCTAAAGGATGAAAGAACTGGTATTCTGCAGAGTGGACAATGCAAAAAACTTGATGGTAGCTATTATTGCACTCGCTGTTGGAAACAGAATGATTTGCTTGGGTACTGTTCTGTAGCATCTTTTTGTCATACAGTTTTTATGCAATTTGATTCTTTTTTGTTCCTGTGCTTCCAGTCTTATTGCCTCCATATCTTAGTCTGAGCTTCCAGTATATCTTGCACTGATAGATGTAAACAATTGAAAAATATTAGTTTGATAGTCGTGAGGTTTAGCTTTGATATTTTTCATCATATTTATCTTTCAAATACTACACTTAATGTACCTTACCTGGTGAAAAAGATCAAAACTTTCTTTTAGCTTTGCTGTTCTGCTCTTAGGGATTGATCCTTGTACTGTCATCATTTAATCAAAGGAAAGAATGCTCACACGTAGAGAAACAAGTTTTAGATATTTCAACCTGTCATGCTTTAACTTTATGCAATGAGCTATTGCTGTGTATACTCTATTCTACCTGGTTGTATGATCGATTCATCCAGTTTCCCTCTGGAGTAAGATTTGTTTGTCGGGAGTCGGGACAGGCAGTTTTATGCTGCGAGTATTTTAGATAGCAGACTATGAAAACAGGTCCTGACCCTATTTAATTTTCTAGTTTTTGTATCTTCTTGAGGTATCTTAGCTCTAGTTTCAAGGTATGGAATGGATGAGTTTATAGTTTGATAAAATTTGAGCATTTGAGTTGACAAGGTAGGATGTACATGTAAATATGAACATAGCATGGACAACTATCTGTTAGGTTAGTCAGTTCATTTGAATTACCTCACAAGAGGAAAAATGAAGAAGCGTAGTTCTTCAAATTGGTTTCAGATTGATACTACATCAAGTGCTCTGTTCTATTGATTGGAATGCATGAATTGTTAATTGGCAGAGCCATTTTGGTATTGTTAACATGCTGAGCACGTGACTATTAAATTTCCTTTCTCATTTCTCAGGTCCTGGAAGAAACAGCTGGTGACAGCAAAAGATGCTCGGCGATTGGATGTATTGTGTCACCGGATTTATCTCAGTCATAAGATCCTCATCTCCACAGAGAAGTACTTGGTATTGCATGAGATTGTTGATACAGCATTGAAGAAACTGGAGGCTGAGGTCGGTCCTATATCTGGAGCTCCAAATATGAGCCGTGGAATTGTTAGTCGACTTACTGTTGGTGCTGAAGTTCAGAAACTTTGTTCTCAAGCAATAGATGCTATGGAATCATTGTTCTCGGATGTATCTCCTGCTAGTTCAAGAATTCAGCGTATGTTTTGTACCCTTTATTTTTTATATTCACATATACAAATGGAATTTGACTAATTGATCCATGTTTCCATTTTCAGGACCATCTATGATACCACCAAACTTTGTAAAGTTTGAAGCTATAACCCCAACATCTGTCGTGGTATTTTTGGATTTGGTTCACTGTCCTATGCTTGCCCAAGAGGCAACTTCGTTTAATATCTGGCACCGAGTGGCTGTTACTGAATCGTACCTGTCAAATCCGAGTGGCATAATACTTGCGCCATCGAAAAAATTACCTGTCACTGGGCTTGCACCGGCTACAAGCTATATCTTTAAGGTTATTGCTTTCAAGAATTCAATCGAGTTGGGGTCATGGGAAATTAGAATGAAGACAATCTGTCGAAAGGATGATCCAAGGGGTTCAATGCCAGGTGGTACTGGACTAGGACACAATAGTGAGAGCCCAAAGGCAAACAGTGATGGCCAGTCTGATCCTTCCTCAGAGGGTGTCGACTCAAACAATAATATTGCTGTTTATGCTGATCTAAACAAGTCCCCTGAAAGTGATTTTGAGTACTGTGAAAATCCTGAGATCCTAGATTCAGATAAAGCGTCTCATCACCCCAGTGAACGCATTGATGACTTGCAAAATATACAGATGGCTGCAGATAGGGTAACAGAAGTCACTGAGCTGGAAGAAGCGCCTGGGCTCTCAGCCTCAGCCTTGGATGAGGAACCCAATGCTTGTGTTCAAACAGTGCTTCTCAGGGAGTCAAACTCACTAGAACACAATCAAAGAGCTGTAGTTCCTAGATCACAGGATACATCTAATGTACTGGCTGGAAATGAGTTGATGATTGTTGGACCTCGATATGCTGGTTCTGTGCCACCCATTGCAACTAGAGGTGTGGAAAACTGCAAGGAGCATGGTGGAAGGGGCTTCAAACCCAAACCTTGTGACAACGTTGTTCAAAATGGCTCTTCAAAGCCTGAAAGGGAACCGGGCAATTCGTCAAACAAAAGAACATCTGGTAAAATGGAGGACCTTGGCCACAAGGATAATTCCTCTGAAGTGTCCTATGAGTACTGTGTAAAGGTGGTCAGGTGGCTGGAGTGTGAGGGCTATATTGAGACAAACTTCAGGGTGAAGTTTCTTACATGGTTTAGCTTGCATGCCACCCCGCAAGAGAGAAAGATAGTTATTGTCTATGTGGATACTCTTATTGAGGACCCTGTCAGTCTTTCTGGCCAGCTCGTCGACAGCTTCTCGGAGAGGATATATACCAAAAAGCGGCCTTCCATGCCTTCTGGTTTCTGCATGGACCTGTGGCATTAAGGAACTGCAAGCTCTTACCATTTGCTTTGTAGGGAGCATATTCGGTCCCATTCTTTCGTTGCAGATCATTGCATTGATTCTTCATTGGAAATTTCACTGAAGCATTTGACTTACACATCTTCATTGAAACTTTCCTTCGCAATGACAGTAGGTTATGTTATCATGCAACTTCTTTTTCCTTTTCCGTTTTTTACATTTGCTCCATAATAGGTTACAGTGCTATCATCTGTACCGTCCATTTTAATTCTTAGAGCATCAATAGGCTGCACTGTTCGGTCAGCTTGGGGCATCATGAATTTTGTGGCATGTAGCTGCTCTGAAGAAGGATGATTGTCAGGCTGGATCAGGACTGCACCTGTGTCTGTGGGATGAAGCAGGCTTCGTATGGACGTTGACGAATCCGAGCTAACCATGTCTTGTCAGTAAAATGGTTGTGCTGTATCTTCGGGGGATTTGCGTTTTCTTGCTGACTCTTGTTGGGAATGGGAGGGATGATGTTTAAGGTGCAGAACGTCTGCCTTAATTAATGTTATGTTGATGACTCATGCTTCTCTATCTACTGCTGCATTTGTTGGTTCGCTGGTGTTCTGTTTGAGGCCCCCCAGTTCTGTGTTGCACCTGTTTGAATCCCATTCCAGTGGTCTGCCACTGTACATGCCCAATGTAGCTTGGCATTCATGATTGAATGAGTGCTTGCGGCTGTCTATGGGACTATGGTGCTCATGGCCGACGGGTGGGATCCTGGGGCCGGTATTGAATCCTCCTTTTTCGCTTTTCAGCTCAACGAAGGCTGGGAAAAGAAATGGCGTTTACAGATGTCACTTAGATGAAGTTTTTCTTGTTGTGATTATGATACCTTAATTATTATTATTATTCATGTTGTCATGCACCATTCAACATCTCAAATCAAACAAGGTTCTTTGTACTTTCAGGCATTGCATGCAACAGATGCAGTTAGCTGATTTTGTAGTCTTACTTCAAGAAGTATATGAACAGAGATTTTGTCTTCAACATTTTGATAGGAATAAAGTGGATTTTTTTTCTCCAACATTGTTTTTTTTTTCAACTGGATCTCTCTTGATTTGATTCTTGGTTTCTTGCTCGCCAAAGATGGAGAACGGAGAAGAGTAGAGATATAGAGAGCTGCTTGCGGTTTTTTATCAGAATGACTCCTCATAAGGATATAGGTTTTTATTAGAATGACTCTTCAAAAAATGATTTAGAGGACGAGTTAAAAAAAAAAAACTATCGCACATGCTCGTCGTCTATAAACCATTCCATCTCAGTGCAGAATACTAGTACAATCCATGTGCATCAAACATGAAAACGGAGATGACAGTGCATGGCACGGCTGGTTCTCTGCAAGGTTTTAAATCTTCGGCTAAAGGATTTAGCGGATGACCTTTAAAACAGCTATAGCAGGGGCTAAATGAGGCTATAGCGTGTTATAGCCACTAAGTTCTACATAAACGCAAATAGCTTAGTCTCAAACAGCTGTAGCGACCAGATTTAAAACCTTAGTTCTCAGCTGTAGACGGTGCACGCGGCCGCCGGAGCACCGGAGGAGGGCTTGTGGACGACGAAGGACATGCACTGGCACTGCCGCGAGCTGTCGAAGGCGATGAGGCGGACGTAGGCGTCCGGGTACTCTCGGCGGCACTCGCCCAGCTCCCGGAGCACCTGCGCCGCGTCCGTGCAGCCGAACATGGGCAGCTTCCACAGCGTCCAGTACCGGCCGTCGTAGTACCCCGGCATCCGGCTGTTGCTCCGGTGGATCGTCGTCCCGGCCTGCGCGTCACACACCATGCATGATCAGGTCGGTCTCATGCATGTCTCGATCTGGTGGTGGTGGTCACTCAGATCAGATGAGACGGCCGGATAGACGGATACCTTGTCGAACTCCAAGCAGGGCACCCATCCTCTGGCCAGGATGAAGTCCACCTCCTTGGCGACGTACTGCTCTGTCAGCGGCGGCAGGTACGCCTCGTGCCTCGTGTTGGCGAAAGGGTTCCAGGTCTGTGATGTCTGTCGTCATGTCATCACGTGCGAGCTCAGTGTCAGCTGCACGCGTACGTGCACATAGACGACTCCAATGGGTTTGATCAGGTTGGCCGTGATCAGGTTGGCCGTGTTGGTGGGCTACCTTCATGCAGCGTGTTCGGAAGCCATTGGACGCGCTGGTACGGTCGTCCTCGCCCTGCAGGACGATGAGCCAGGCAGCGGCAGCCGCCTCTGGCGCTCGACGAGCTTTGCCGCCGCCGGGTCTAGACGCAGCAGGCAGGCAGCGGCCGTGTTGACGAGCATGTTATTCACGGCGGAGAGAGAGAGAGGATCGGAGGAGCTAGCACGGTGCGAGAACGTGCGAAGATGGTTCTGATTCTGAATTCAAGTACTCCGTAGGAGAGAGGACGAGAGGTGATGGTGATTCCACCTTTGCTTCATCAATTGGTCGAGAGAGACGACGGTGGCTCCAAGACGGCAAAACGTACCAGAACAATATAGCGATCTCCCTCCCCTCGGTGTCACCGCCGACGTGCCTCTTTCACTCTCCCTAACGGGCTAACGGCGTACATGCCAGCAGGGCCGCTAACGGGAAATGTTTGAGCACCCACGGTTTGCTGCCCAACTACTGGAATCAGCAAAGCACCACTCTCCATTTGGAAAAAGAAAAAAAGAAAAGACATCGGTGTGTTAGGCAGGCTCTGTCACTAGTTTTTGGTTGTGTGTACATTGTTTCTAGCATATTGTTTGGAACCACACTGTGTTCACTGACACGTACTCCTAGTTTAGGAGGGACATGACATGTCCCTTTCACGAAGAAAGCACACCAAATACACATTTTTCTTCTGCATGGGAAGCTTGATTTACCATCATATTTTGTCAGGTACTAACTCCTTACTAAAAATATCTTCCATCGAACTACCCACCAACAAAAGATGCTGCACTCGATTCCTGAACAGACAAACAGGAGAGACAGTAGCAGGGGGCAACCCCTCCTCTCCTGATTCCACAAAAAACAAACTTGTTCTTGATTTACAGGTCGATGGTTAATCCCAGCGTCACACATTACATTTCCAGAATATAATGGCCAAACATGCATACTTAGTCACCAAAAAAATTCCAGGCTGTATATGTTTACAGAAGATTTATAGAACAACAGCAGATTCCAGTGTACGTGAGGCACATATAGACAGTTAGACCTACTTCTGGTCCTCGTCATGTTTATATTGCAAACGATGCTCCTCCCTTCAAACTCCCGTCACTCAGAATGTCAACCAGGTCATTGTCCAAACGCAAATCCTGCAGTAATCACAAACTTTAACATATATCCCTGCTGCCTAGACTAGGTGATAGCATGATCGATCTCGAGATCAGTTGGAGAAGTCACCTTGTCACTTGCTGAACGGTGATGAGCTTGATCCATGGAAGGAGGAAGTGAGGAAGAAGAAGAAGAAGGATATTCTGACGGCGAGACGAGCCGGTGCAGCCGGATGAGCTCGGGCATGACGACGGTCTCCAGGTCCGGCCGGTCCCTGCGCCGCATCTCGCAGCACTTGAGCGCGAGCTCGGCGAAGGCCTGCGCCTCCTGCACGGGCCAGCCGGTGACTTTGCCGTCCAGGAGGTCGGCGAACGTGCCTTCCTCCAGCGCGTCGGAGACGGTGTACGCCAGCCCCATGGCCTCCCTGGCGGTGACCATCTGCAGGAAGATGACGCCCAGCGCGTACACGTCGGACTTGGTGCACACCAGCCCCGTCTTCTGGTACTCCGGGTCGATGTAGCAGAAGGTGCCGGCCGCCGCCGTCTCCCGGTACTGCGTCGTCGCCGCGGCGCCGTCCATGGACCGCGGGATGATGCGAGCCAGCCCGACGTCGCCGATCTTGGTCACGAAGTTGCCGTCCAGCAGGATGTTGCCCGGCTTGAGGTCGCGGTGCACGAACGCCTCGGGCTTCATCTTGTGCAGGTACAGCAGGCCGCTCGCGATCTCAACGGCGATCCTGAACCGCAGCTGCCATGGCAGCGGCGGCGTGCCGGAGTGGCAGAACAGGCGGTCCTCCAGGCTGCCGTTCGGCATGTACTCGTACACCAGGCACCCGTACTCCGGGCACGCCCCGACCAGGTGCACCATGTTCGGGTGACGAATGTTGTTCAGCAGCTCAACCTGACGAATGATGACATAACTCTTCATTCATAAATGCGAAACCAATCGTGTATGCAACAGGCTTGTAATATCTATCATTCCTATTAAACAATGGCTTCGAATAGCAAGAATATAGAGAGTTAGAGACATCATTAATATGCTTTCGTCAAACAAAATTACACAAAGGTCACATATAGTTTGGACTTTGGAAATTAGGAATGCTAGCAGCAAACAGGATATGCTTTCGTCAGACAAAATCAGCTGTGAGCATATATATTACTTATATACCTCCTGTTGAAACTGCTTGAGTCCCTGAGTTATATTAGAATAGAGGATCTTGATGGCCACAAGAGTGTTGTCAAGCGTGGCCTTGTAGACTGGTCCATAGCCTCCTTCTCCAATCTTCAGCTCGTCGGCGAAATGATTAGTCGCGTTCGTGATATCGTCTGCGGTAAATATTCTGCACTCCAGCCTAGTAGGCAGGCACTCTATCATCCTTTTAGTCTCAATTGGCCTTGGCAAGGCTTTAAGCTTGAGGTCAAGCTTGCGAGTCTCTTCCGGAGTAGACCCAGTCCTGTTGTCATCTCTAGGCGAGCTAATCGGTGGCCAGCGTCTCAAGATCGGGTGAATGACATCCTGCAAATCATGATCTTTCAACTCCTCTGTAATCCTTTCTCCACGTTGAGCGTCGCGAGGTGGAGGGTCGAGGGTCAGGAGTTTATGCTTTGGTCCAATTGCTGACTGAGAACATGCTTCTGCTTCTGCCTCCGGTTTGTTTCTGTGAGATGGGGGGATGGAAGAGCTTTCTGGGTTTCTGGCCATCTCCTTGTGTTCCTGTTCAAAACATGCACATGAATTTTCAGTCACACAATCAGGCCCAAATAGGCAACAAACTGTGGCCAAAATGATTGCTTCAGATTTAGTTCAGATTCGGAATTGTAACCACAATCATTTTACAGTGTAAGTAATAATCATCAGCAAGCACAAGGTACCAATAATACCTCTGTGTAATTATTCCATGGAAGCATATCGCCATTCTTTTCCTTCCGTTCGATTCTGAAGAGGCTTAGTTCAGCTTCATCATCTTCCTGCAGATCATATATATGCTGTTGGCAAGCCCGTGTGTATACATCGCAATAACATTTTTGCAAATGAATGGATCTTCAAAACAACAGATAGCATGTGGAAGTGTTGAGAGCATAGTGTTAGATGGTGGTAATTGATTCAGTGCATTCTTCACTTGCCGTTGGCGACAGTGGACTGTAGACATTGTATCCAGGATTTAGAGTGCTATCCTTGAGGCTTGAGTCATCAAATCCAAGGAATTGTCTACGTGGAGCATGAGATGCTTGTTCATTGTCCGTATTCAGAGAAAGCAATGGATGTCTATATTGCTGATCAACGTCGTTTAGGAATCCACTTGGGCATGAAGATGCTGTTTGTACAGATGAAGAGTCGCTATGCCGTTGTTGATCTGATGACATGAAGCTTCCATCTTCTGTTGATTCATCAGAACTGGCATAAATGGGCATCAGAGCACGTACTGGTATAGGCCTGAACAGAGTTCAAATGTTGTGAAAGAAACAGAAACTAGCAGCATGTACAAAACAACAACAACAACAACAACAAAGCCTTTAAGTCTCAAACAAATTGGGGTAGGCTAGCAACATGTACAAAAAAAAAACATAGAAGAGTCATGGAATGATGGAATTGAAGAGGACAAATTTTCTTCAAAAAAAAAAAAAGCATTGAAGAGGACAAATAGTTCAAATAATTTATCAGCGCAAATCTAAACAAATTGCGGATAGATGTGGTAGTGCAAATATTGACCAGAAGACAATTTCGACGTGGTTGTGAGAAAACTCACTGTTTTCATGTACGGTTGAAAATTTGCAACAAGAGTAGCTTGCCTACAGCTGACAAAGATGATCATTTCTGCAGATGGAAATAAAAAAGTAAACTCACCTTGAAAGATTGTGTCCAGGCAGATCAGATTTCAAATCTTCTTTGCCTGTGTCATTTGCATAAGTGGCAGGCCTGAAAGAAGAAATCTTTCCTTTTGCTATCACATACACTGAACAGAAGGTCGGTGCAGATTTTGTGACAGATGTTGGCACATCCAGTTTCCATATTGTTCTGGAAAAAGTAAGGGGAAACATGCATAACACACTCGCTCATTGAAGTTGGAGAATTTTGTTCCAAGCATGATTGATACCAATGGAATCGTTTGAGAAATAGAATTGTGTGTACGATTTGTTTAGGATTTTACACCCTACCTTGTAAATGCATTCCTGGATGCTGACCCCAGTACTAACTTATCGACCTTGTTGCTCACAACAAAATCAACAATTGCTTTCGACACATCTGTTCCATCCAGGACAATTTCCCTGCATTGCAACTGTAGATATTAAAGTAAGTCAGACAAAAAGGTTATTATGGTACCAAATCGTTATGTTTATGCAGAAGAGATCAAAGAAAGGGGCACTTATAGTGTCATATATAAAGCAACGATCCTTGTGAATATCATTTAAACAAGTGGTTAATCAACATCTGCATTGCCTTTTTTTCTCTCCAAAATTCAGATGCAGAAAAAATAACTGAACATTGTGTTTCATTACAAGGAAAGGTAAGGTGGTGAGGGCGCATACCCCTCTCCTGCTGCAGAAACACTGGAAGGGGATCATCAGATCTTTAGCCTGAAGATCCATCTGAGCATGAAAATCGGCCGGAATGTCATCCTGTACGTGTGATATGGCGAACTGCTTACCACCTGCACACATGGAAATCAGAAATTCAGACATTCAGCAACACATCTGACTGATGATGAATCGAAACAAGATTGCATTTCTGAACAGTTGGTCGTTTGAGAAAATTGGGGACAAACCACCCCCCTCAAATAATCAAATCACGTTTGTATCGCTCTGGGGATTTCACCTTCCTGCTAATTAATCAAGAACCGGATCTTTCTCCTTCCTGCTAATTACGTACCGGGGCCCTGGAGGAAGGTGGGCTTGCTGCGGACGTGGATGAGGAAGAAAGGCCGGGCGCGGGAGAGGATGTTGTCGGCGGCCCACTTGAGCGCGTACTGGCTGCCCCTGTCGCCGTCGACGGCGACGGCCGCCCTCCCGTGCTCACTCGACGAGAGCGGGTTGCAGTGCTTCACGGCAGCGTCGGCGGCGTCATTGCGGGTGTCCTTCTTCTTAGCCGGTGCCACGATGGGCTGCGTGTTGAACGTGTACGACATCTCCGGGCGGTGCTGGTCGTGGCGGAGGTGGAGGACGAGGGCATGGCGTCGATGGCGTCCATCAAAGGCCTGGTGGTGGCGGTGGCGAGGGATAGAGAGAAGGGCGCGGAAATTGAGGACGCCCGCGAGTTTGGCGGGGAACCCGCTGCTGCTGCATGCCACTATGTTTCCCCTTGAAAAGGGGAGAGGCGGAGAGCCCAAGCCCAAAGCTTGCAAGGCCAGAAATAATAATAGTTTTATTCTTCTTTAGCAAATTTCGTCATACATATTATTTATAACTATTATATATCTACGTACCATATAATGTTAAAAAGCATGGAGATTCTTCTATCCCACTTTTTTTTCACTTTATTACAAACTGCCCTCACGCCACTCTCATATTCATCCAGAACCTACATTTTTTTAGAAGATCCAGAACCTACATAAACACACGGGCCCTTATTGAATTTCAGCAACTCGTCCATCCATGTCATACTATTTGATTAGTTGACCTAACGCTCGAATGGAGCCTGGATGAGGCTCTAGGCGGTCTGATGAAGTTGCGTGTTTTTAAGTTTCTAGCAAAGCGCACAATGTGTTGAATACCTTAATATGGGCAGGTGCTGGAGCCCGAGTGGGGCACCCAAGGTTGCCGGTCCATGGGTCCGACACTGGTTGATTCAAGTTTTTGATAAGCATACTAGCAAATATATCCATGCGTTGCTACGGGAAAACGATCGCGTGGTTTGGAACCGTGTGATCCTTATTCCTCCTTGCCGGCGCTGCCCCCGCCCTGCTCTTGCTTGTGCACACTGCCTCAGCCCTCATGCACCCCTCATTCGCCGCACCCTCCACTAGGGCTTCTAGCACCCATGGTCAACTCCTCACACACGATCACTGCCCCACCAACCTCCCATGCCGCCCTACCCTAACCACATGGCTCCTGCCGACTACTCCAGCACGATGCCCCCGTCGCCAGCCCTGCGCAAACCGCCATCTCCCACCACCCTTGCGGGCGGTGCCCACGTCATCTCGGCCACCATCACCACCATGTTGCGACCACCAACTCAAACCCTCTTGTACACCCATCGGTGAGTGAATTCTCTCCTTGAACCGTGACCCCTGGCGCTAGGTGGCTCTTCTTCCTCTCCGGCGGGATGCGAACGCATGACCCATCGTGTGTCTGAGTGTCGGTGTTTTCGGACCACCGACGAGTAAATTTGTATTTGCGCGTCTGGCTCGGAGGACACAATGGTTTATACTGGTTCGGGCAGAACGTCCCTACGTCCAGTTCGCTGCTGCTCGTGTTACCGGCACTTGGTTTGCAGTAAGGGTTACAAACAGGCGAGAGAGGGAGAGGATCCCAAGTCTCTAATCGAAGGAGTGAACGGATGCTGAGACCTCGCTTGCCGCTCAGCTGTGTGCTCGTGTCGTGCTCTTGTGCCCCGATCTCCCCTTTCATGGGGCGCCCTGCTTCCCCTTTTATAGGCGAAGGGAAAACGCGGGCTACAGAGGAGGAAAATGAGAAGAACGAGAGAGAGAAAAAGGTTTCTAGGGTTGTCGGGTCCTTCTCCTTCATGCGGGTCCCGCCGATCCTGTAGATGTCAACAGGGACGGCTCCATGTCGTGGCCTTGTTCATCACTGGCGCCATGCGCAGGCGTCATCTGCCGGTCATGGCGTTCCACTCCGTCCCGACGGACGTCGTGGTGAACTGACACGCCTATCAGCGTCCGTACGAGGATTAGGCAGAACAGCACCGGCACGCCCGACACTGTTCTTGATGTGAATCTCTAGGTATAGTCTGTCATGGCCACATGTTACATCGAGGCGTGACAGCCTCTTCCCTAGCGTTAGAGTTTTGACCCAAACCCATACGCTTGGACCTGGAGTGGTTGGTGGCGGTATTGGTCCCCGTCGGACGAGACGGAACCCGCGTCCTCGAGGTCGGGCGAGACGGAGTCCGCGACCTTGGGCGAGACGAAAACCGCGTCCATGGGGTCGGGCGAGACGGAGCCCGCACCCAAGGGGTCAGGCGAACGGAGCCCGCGGCCTCGAGGTCTGGCAAGATGGAGCCCGGGCCTCAAGGTCGGGCGAGACGGAGCCCGCGGCCTTGGGCGAGACGGAACCCGTGTCCTTGGGGTTGAGCGAGACGGAGCCCGCGGCCTCGAGGTCGGGCGAGACGGAGCCCGCGGCCTTGGGGTCGGGCGAGACCTTTTAATACGTCTCGAGCCATCCGGGGAAGTTACCTTGTTTTGGGTATCCCTAATATCGATACCCGACAGTAGCCCCCGAGCCTGCGGAGAAGTAGAATACTCCTTTGGAGGCTTTTCCGGACGGAAGGACTCTGAAGGCCTTGGCCTTCTTTTTTAGCCCGCGGTGTGTCCTGGCAGGACGACGATTCCCTTTTGTCACGATCGATCTTCTTGGGGCATGTAACCGTAGGATTCGGGAGGTCGTAAATATTTTTTTGATTCCGGTCCTCTAGGATCCAATCGGTCCGCCGTCGTACTGCGACCGCGCGTTTAGTGTCCTTACGAGTCCAACTTTCCTCGAGCCCCCACCCGTAGCAGGGGTCCCGTCGAGGGTCGTCTCGTCTTTAGTGATCGTCATCCCTCAAGCGTTTTCTCTCTCGATAAAACGGAGGGGCTGAGCCGTGCCATGTTTTTCCTCGATGGACAAAACATGGTGCTCGGTGAGCTGTTAACGGGCTAGTCCGAGTGGGGCCTCGGCTTCCTGTTCGCGTGGGTGTCCGGCATGGGTCAGCTGGTGACCGACTCCAGGCTCTTGGCGGCCAATCCATATAGTTTTGGGCTCCGTTCGGTCAGTCCCAAGGGCTCATTGCCCTTCTTTGAGGAAAAACCATAGACTGAGAGCCGACTAAGACTCGAACATGAGCTGGGATGCCCGCGGCGCTCATGCGCCTAGGTACTAGCAGCTAGTGGGCCCATCCCTTTCCACCCCTCGCTCTAAGGGTGCCCCGGAGTGTCTGTGAATCCGTCGGCGGGCCAACCTTCGAACTCCTGGTCCTGAATGGGCCGTATGAGCATTTTCGGCTCCGTATCCATCCTTAACTACGATGGTTCTTGTTCCATCGACCGAGCGAACCGCGATCCGGCGTGTCCTTTGAGGGCGCGGCCAGAGATAGCGTGCGCACGATCTTTGGAGGGAGGTCACGTGGCGCGACGTAGCGGGCGCGTGAACCTAGGCGGACGGTTCGCCTTCTCGCCCCGCTCCGTCCTATAAATAGCGGCCTGCCCCTTCACGTTTTTGCACACCAAAATCACAGCCTTACCTTCTCCGTTTCTCCACCGTCGCCATTCGGATCTGCCGTGCTTGCTAATCCACCGCCGGAGCCCTACATCTGTAGGTTTCGCTTCTCCGTCGCCGCCTTTGCTTCTCCTCAACCGCCTCCATCCTCCATGGATTCGTGGTACCGCTCCGATGTTACCCATGCGCGCATGGAGGGCCTCGTCAAGCATGGTCTTCTCCGCGAGAGGACCGATGCGGCAGAGTGGCTTGTGCCCGGCCGTGAGGATGCGCCGGCGCCACCCAACGGCTACGTCGTCTCCTTCGCGCCCTTCCACGAGCGCGGACTCATGGTTCCTCCCCATCCGTTTTTTCGGGTCTGCACCACTATCAGATTGAGCTGTAGCACTTGAACCCCAACGGGATATGTGCGAGGGGTACCTGGGGAACGAGCCTCACTTCGAACTGTGGAGATATTTCTTCTTCATCTCCTTGATCAAGAAGAAGGAGAGAGGCGGGAGACCCGGTGCCAATTATTTTTTGATACAGTTAATACTACAGTTATTTTTTGATCGTGTGCAATTTTTTTTCTTATACATTGTTGGTTCATACGTACGTGTATATTTTGATTTGAACTAGCTATATACTCCATTCATCACTCCGCATGCATGCAGGTTGATGGACAAGTGGAGCTTCAATAAACTAATTTTCGGAGTCGACGTGTGCCTCGTCGAAAAGAAAACCACTCCTTCACCCACTTCTTCTCCTTCTTCTTCCTCTCCTGTGTAGCCTAGCCTTTTGCTTCCATAATACCATATATAGCCGGCCTTCCGATCCTTTTCAGTTTCTTTTATTTTATTTTACTTTTTTTTAAAAAGGATGTTTCACGATACTACATTGGTCCTCTTTATGTTAAGTTTCAAGCGATCAATATTTATGCCACGCGCGTTGTTTCATCTGTAAATCATCATGTCTTTTTCTGTCATCTTTGTGTTAAAGTCGATTGATTGCGTTGTTAATCATGTGAAGTCATGCATGCGCATGCGCTGCCGATGGTACAGTATGTCAAACGGAAGCGTTAGCGCCCGGACGTCTGGACGGACGCGCGCATCTGGAGGCCCGCCATTGTACTTCGTTTCCCATGCGCCTGCACTCAGCCCCGTCCACGCTTCATTCCCGCGCACACCTGTGCTCCACCCCCGCACCTGCACGCCCGCGCCGCGCCTGCGTTTTGCGCGCCCACGCAGGGCCCGTGCCGCTAGACCACGCATGGGGACCGCTCGCGCCCTAGCAGCTGTTGTAGGTGGTTGCGAGTGGATCCCATTGCAACATGTGCAACACCCAATCTATTTTGAAATATCTAGATGCAACATTTAAAACATACGTCTGAAGGCAAATGAAACACTTGAAACATACATCTGAAACCGTTGTAAAAACTCCTGAAAACATTTGAAAACTATTGCAAAATATACGCAACATCCAGATAAAACACTTGCAACATATGTATGATATATATGCAACATCCAAATAAACACACTTACAACATGCGTCTAAAAAATAGATGAAATATTAGAAACAGAAGCTTGCAACATACATGTATAACCATTGCAACATATGCAACATCCGGATCTACTTTTGCAACATCCATATGAAACACTTACAACATACCTATGGAACATCTGAAACACTTGAAACGTAGTCTTGAAACATGCATTGTTCGCCCTTCTTCTGGACAAAGCAAAGTAGACCGGGGAATGGCTGGTTCCGGCAAGCT